CAATAAATTGCACACAAAAAGGATGAACTGAACATTATTACTAAAGACCCAATTCAGAGAGGAAGTGCAAGAATTCTTCAGAATATGAATTCAACTACTTTAAACAACATATAAGCATGAATTAACACAGGGGAAAATTGACCATATTCTAAAACTAATTGATGGATCTCCTCCTCCTATATCTTCATCTTGAAGTATGCTTGAGTTTCTTCTTGGTGGAGGCGTGATGATGATCTGCTGCAGTGGATGCTGATTGGCGAGAGATGACCAAATCCAACTTGTTGTTGACTTCCTCCCGGAAGTTATTCAACTCAAGTCTAGTGAGTTTACAATCCCTGACAGCCACAGCAATCAGGATGTCTCTAGAGAACTTGCTCATAATCTTATTATACTCTTTGATTCTCTTACAGAAAACATCCATTTTGTGGAAATCCCACCATCTGATCTGATTGCACTCCCTAACCAAATCGTTCCCCTGATTCATGATGTTGATGAATTCCTCTGTTTCTTCACCCGGGCTGTTGAGATAATTTTCGTTCAGATATATAATCTGATAGAAATAAGGGCTCAACTCATCCAATCGTTGATTTAAACGACGTAAGGAAGATTTGAATGTTAGAACTCTGACTGCCGTGGCTATGGCCAGTTTCGATAGACCATCAGCGCCTATCCCAACCACACTCTCTGCTATTGCAATCGCCAGTACTTAATTAATGTGATGAAAAAAGATTGATTAGAAATTGATCTGAACCAAATAACAAACACCAAAAGAATAAAGTGGACAGAACTATGAAGATAATGAAAATTGCCCAATCAAGTTTGCTGTGAATAGAGATAACTGGTTTCAGATATAGACTGAACTAGTGAAGAAATAAAGTAGGAGAGAATAGTGAGGGTTTTGGGTGTTATATAGATGATGATGAATGGCGAAAAACCAATTGAGGTTTGGATTTCGATTTAGGAAAGTTTATTATTACCGTTGCAGCGCTAATTAGTTGTAGTACTAATTCTTTGTCTATTCCTATTGAGTTTTGGATTCTGATATCCTTAATAATTATCTCTTTGGACTTGGTCAAGTTTGAGACTATTACGTCTCCATATCCCTGTATTTTGGGAGAAACTCATAATTATTACTGACCCCTTGGAGGGTTTTTTTTTTTTTTTTCTTGTTTTCTTCTCTTCTACTTTTTTTCTTTCTCTTAAGACTAAATTTGTACTTGAAAGAATTTCTAGGTGAATGTTCTGATATAATGATGTTATATTGCTATCCTCCTTCTTTTTTTATTTATTTATTTTTTATTTTTTTATTTTGACCCATACGATCGAGTTTTAACACACATTCTATCAATTTTGGCCCATAAGGACTCTAACAACACTGGCAACCGGGATGATGCTATCCTTCTTCGTATCACTTCAGAGGCGACCATCAACGGTGTAAAAGATGTTATGGATTCATCTTGAATAAGGGATTGTTTGGTGAAGTTATCTTGATTTTCCCTTGATTTGCATTGCTTTTTAAATCTATATATATCTTCCAACCTTAGAAACAAGAGGAAAGGAACAGAAAAGACCAAGGATGCTCTAATGTCTCTCTTCATTGAAGTTTGTAGGTAGAATGTGATCAGATACATTTTAAAAATGGCATTGTACAGATATCTTCACATCCCTTATAAAACTAGGAACTAAACTGAAAAGGGCTTGGACATTGAAGACTTGTAACCGTGGAGCTAAATTATAAAATGAAAGTCTATAGGAATATGGATCTTGTAACTTGAATGCATAAGGATTGTAGTCTTGAAATGCAACCTGAATGACAGGATTTTAATGACTAAAGTTCTGAAGCCGTCATGTTAACCTTTGGCGAACGGAAAGATCGATCAGAGAATGAACCAGCTGAGATGGAATTATATTGAGAAGTCAAAAGGAGGAACTGGCTGTTTCTTCAACTTCTTTTGAGCTTCCATGAATCCACCAAGTGATCTCAGGGTTGTACTCGATAAACCTCCAACTGAACAAAAGAAGACATTCTTAAAAGTAGACACTAATTGATGAAAACAGGAGATATTGTAACACTAAACTTTTTTCTTTTCTTTTTTTTTTTTTTTTTTGACAGAGGGAGTAATAGCCCACCAAAATTTCTAGGCCAGTTTGAAAACTGTAAGAATAAACATACTGCAAGATAAATGTACAAAATCCGGAGGGTAATATATGCAAGATTTTGACCAGCCCTTCAAACATGGTAATAGTTTCAATATAAAAGCAACAATATTGAAATTTGACGGGTATCAACAGGCAATGCCTACACAAAAAATTACCTTTGATAATTTAGCATATAGTAAAATGCAATGTAATAGTTCAGGTATCTCGAAACGCAAGTAAAACTCTTAAGTTGATATTGCTTTTTTCAGGACCACCAATTCTTGGTATAATCCCTCCGTTTTAATTACAAAGTTTAAAATTAAGATGCATATATCAGGGATCTTTAGTACAGTTACAGTAGCTGGTTAAGCGGAAGCCGATAAGTGCATATTCATTTTTTTACCATGTCTGTTAAAAAAAAAAATCCATGTTTAGTTTTTACATCATTTCATTATATATATTGAAGGAAAGAAAGATAATCGACACATGTCACTTATTGAGACCATCAAACCTCAATTAACACGTGTCATTTGCTAACTGGTTGATCATTAATCAGTTAAAATTTTATGTAAACAGTTAATAACTATTATTTACTATATTGGATTTTTACAGATATTACAAATTCCCGATTCAGAGTTTGAAAATGAATATTTTTTAAAATTGCTGAAAAACTCCCGACTTTACAATTCCTTGCATTTACGAGTTTAAACTTTCCACCTATTGTCATTTTGGCCCTTAAAGTTCTATTTGTGTGCTACTTAGTCTTCAATTTTATTGATTTTACACTTTCAATTAATTGTGTCTCATATTTTATTAGAACTACATTTAATCCCCAAAGTCCCCTTGCCTATAAATAGGTCATAGACATCTAGACATAATTTATGCATTTTTTTTAAACATATTTTTTTAATCAAAACATAACATTAGTTAGTGATGACAATTTTTATCATACAACTTTTGAAAATCTTTGTTGTTATATTTTTGATAAGATTTTACAAATATACATCTCATAAATAATATTATTTTGATCTAAATTTGATTAGTTAAAAAATATTATGATTTTAAGAAATATTAGAAATTACATTATCTAATTAATTCTTTTGAAAGATACAATTTTCAACATTAACAAACACGTATAAAGCGCGGGACACATACTAGTTTGTATAAAAACAGTACAAAATTCAAAATTCAATGTAGAATTTCTAAAGTATAAAACTCAAAATTCAATGTGGATTTTTTTTTTTTTTTTGAGAGAGTGATTATTTAGTCACAAATTTCAATTACTACTTCTTCTTTTTTTTCCTTTTTTTTTTTTTGGGTGCAAGTCAATTACCACTTCTAATATTTCGAAGGAACTATACTTGCTTGCTTTGGATGTAACAGTTTTCTGTAAATTCATTCCAAAATTAAATAATAACTAGATGTTTGGCCCAGGCAGATGCCCGGGCGCCCCATCTAAATTACTATTTTATTAAAATCTAATCGAATTACTATTTTTTGAGGAATTAATTTGGCGTATATATCATTTATGCTATGGTTTGGGGCTTAAAAAAATATACCTATAAATATGAGGTTATAAGGGAATAATAAATAATTAGTTTATAAGACATTATTCTTAATTGCTGGATTTAGGTATTTTTATTTTTTGTTTATATAAAGCCTGCAAAACTATACGATTGGACATTTGAATTTGAATTAATATATCCATTCGTTTGAAATGTAACTGATCCTTATTTGTAGTAAAACATGTGTTTTTTTAAAAAATATAACTTCTAATTAAAAGAGACTTACACGTGGCAAAAAGACTCCTGAAATCTGAAATATGGTGCATTGGAGCCAAAACAGATGCATACGTAGTTGTCATATAAGCTCCATGTCTTCTGCTTTAATAGGGTAAAAGGGATAATCATAATAACAAGAAGAAGAAGAAGAAAAGAATTCCCTTCTCCCCATTCATTTCAAAACATAAACTTTTTTAACAAAAACTCAATGTAATATCAAAGTTTTTTATTATAGATATTAGGCCTTCATCAAAATCCCACCTAAAGGAATTGTAAATCAAAGCTTATATGCTTTGGCAGGAGCGTAATAATCGTAAATTTGGTCAGGTTTGTAGGACATCGGAGATGGTTACTACTTTAGCTATTAATTTAGTTAGAGATAAATTGTGTAATATGAACCTTAAGTAATAGTATTCAAGCGAGAGTACTTGCACGAATATGGAGAATAGCTTGGATGTAATCTTGATTTTCACTAGCTCTGTACAGTTGATATGTGTGTCCATATCAATTAACCATGTATCACATCGACTATTTAGTCTTTGTAATCGTTTGTTTTTTTATTAATGAAATTGAAATTTCCAAAAAAAAAAAATCAAAATGAAAGCAAAAGAACTTGAAAATACTATCAATTACTAATAGCTTTTACAGTACGCCAATGGTGGAACTATCCTACGGCTGAAATGTTGGAAGGCATCTCTCTGTTCTAGATCAAGGCTCAAATTTTAACAGAATAATAAAACGGCATCACTCTTCATTTGTTTTTGCTGTTGCTACTAGTCTTCAAATTTTAGTGAAAGACGGTTGAAATGTGATTTTTCAGATTAAAAAAAAAGTAAAAAAATAAAATAAAATGATACAGTGGAACCTATCATCATCGAAATAATTCAGCGACATAAAAAATCTCTAATTAATTGGTAGGGTCATAGAAATAGAAGATATAGCGCAATGGTCTTCGTCCTGTCTAATTATTCATCTACAACCATAATCTCTGTGCACCCAAAAAAAAAATAATAATAATAACATACTTTTCTTCATTCATTTGTGAAGTAGTTTTAGTGAAGAAAAAACATATCCAAATTAATGGGAAAGTGCAAAATTCTGGTGGTGGGAGGAACAGGACACTTGGGGAGGAGAATTGTGAAGGAAAGCTTAGCAAAAGGGCATCCAACTTATGTTCTTCAGAGGGCTGAGATCGGTTTGGACATCAACAAACTGGAAATGTTGTTGTCGTTTAAGGATCAAGGAGCCCGTCTGGTTGAGGGGTCTTTTTCCGATCATCGGAGCCTCGTGGATGCCGTAAAACTCGTCGATGTTGTCATCAGTACCGTCTCCGGGAATCTCTTGTTGCAGCTTAAGCTAGTTCAAGCCATCAAGGAAGCCGGAAATGTCAAGGTAAAATTAAAACTTACTATATATGAGAACTTTATTTTATCTCAATATTCCGGTTTAATCCAGAAATTCCATCTGTCCCAAAATTATTGTTCTAATCGAGGTCTTCACCTTTGGTGCAATTTGAACTAAAACTGAAAATTTAAATTGGACAATTATTTCGAGACGGGGGAGTAATATTTATGAAAATCATGATTGATATATGAAAATTTCGTCACGAATCTCTTTAAGTGTATACTTTTACAGCGATTCTTACCATCAGAATTTGGGATGGATCCATCAAGAATGGGGAATGCACTTGAACCAGGAAGGGTACCATTTGATGAGAAAATGGCTGTCAGGAAAGCCATCGAAGAAGCTGAAATCCCTTTTACTTACGTCTGTGGTTGCTGCTGTGCTGGTTGGTTTGCTGGAAACTTAGGCCAAATGAACACTTTGGTTCCACCTAAAGAAAAGGTCATCTTATATGGAAATGGCAACACTAAAGGTACTCGCAAACTCTTTTGATTGTGTTTCACTTTGATTTGATTAATTATCTCTGGGAAATTTAAAAAATCAGCCATATGATTCTTGGGACAAAGTGCTAGTTGAATTTCTGTGATCATTCGACATTTCTTTAGGGAGGACATGACAAAATAATGAGGGAACTATATTGGCAATTTACCCTGTTATATAATTATAGTTGTAGCTCTTCGTGGTCTTAATTATAAGTACTAATTTGAACCAAATTTAATGTTAGTTTTTACCTTATAATTAGGTCTAGAGGAAGTATGTAATAATTTATATTAATCGCATTGGAAATGAACTTTGCAATTCATTTTGACTACCACATTTTACTAAAAAATTTGCGTGCGCATATACAATGATGTTGTAGTGATTTTCATGGATGAAGATGATGTCGCAACATATGCTGTTAAGACAATAGAAGATTCTCGAGCGTTGAACAAGACAGTTTACATTCGACCCCAACAAAACATTCTTAGTCAAAGGGAGCTGATTGAAACATGGGAAGAACTTAGTGGAAGAAAACTAGAGAAAATTAGCCTCTCTGATGAACAGTGGCTGGCTCCGATGAAAGGTACTACCACGTAATCAAATATTTGCCATAATTTTGTTTATAATATTAAGCCAATCTGTTTGATAAATTTGATGATGAATGTTGTATTGCAGGATTGGAATGCGATCAACAAATGGGAGTAGGACATATCTACCACGTTTTCTATGAAGGTTGTTTAACCAACTTTGAAATTGGGGAAGAAGCTGAAGAAGCTTCAGAGCTTTACTCAGAAGTTGTATGCACTCCCATGGACTCCTACTTGAAACGTTTCCTTTAAACATTTTCTTGTTTTTTAATCTCAAACTTCTCTGTACCAATTAAAATGCACTAGTTTTCCCGAATTGATTCAGATTAGTCAGGATAGCAATTCGGACATTATCCCGACTTGATTAAACATCTTTGTACCAGTTAAAATGCATGATTTTTTCCCCCATTGATTCATTACTCAAGACAATAGTTACGGACATGAGTTTTAGTCACGACATGACTACCACTTAACTAAGACAGAAAATCTAGAGTTACATTACATCCTGTGTTAAAAATCCAATATGTTACTGTAAGTCCAATATAAAACTTTATAGCAAGAATATATGAATGAAATAGAAGCATATATGTCCAACTTTTCAATTCTATGAAGTGAATTTGGTTTGTGAGGGAAAAAGAATAACAACAATCTGATTAATGCCCAATAAAGTCATAGCTACTTCTGGTATTTAAATCAAAATTTATGGAAGCCCCTTCTAGACTAAGTTTGATATCTTTTTTATCTTCATGATCATCATGTACCCCTAAGAAATTAGACTCTGACATTTTCCTATTCATGCCATTCCCATCTATCATCATGCTATTTGGATTGCTTTCCACATTCACATTCTCAATGAAGCTTGACAGAGCTAGATTGAACTCTGAGAGCTGAGCTTTTGTTGTCTCCAAATTGGTGGGATTGTTTACTCCCAGTGTAAGGCTTTTCTGTGCTTTCTCTAATATGGATTGTAAGTATTTTCCTTGAGCTTCTATTCTCATCTGTAATTTCTTTTGCACCTGTTGAATCAGAGCCATTTCAATCAGAACCATCTCATTGTCACAACTTTGACAAATGTAAGTTGTGTGGATCTTCTGTCTCACTTTTAAACGAACCACTTATGTCTCATTTAAGAAACGATGTTTATGCACTTTATGTTTAGGGCAGTATTTAGAATTGCAAAATGGCCCTTTCCCTAATAAAGAGTATAAGACACTATCATTAAGTTCGAACAGAGTTGCGACTAATAACCCACCTCAAGCTGCTCTTGCAATCTTTTATGCACTTCAATTTGACTCACTATTGCCTCCGAAATCGTGCTGTCTCTGTATCATTTAACATTATTGGTGAGCCTAATTTACCTTTTACAACTAACTGAAAACTACTATTCAGAGATATATTAACCTCTCAAGAAACATGGAAATAGTACAGGCTGAAAAAAAATATAGCGCTTACCTTTGATCAGCATCAGTTCTTGAGGAAACAGATTTCGAGCCTGAGGCGCTGATGTTGTAATGACCAAAGGAGTCGCCTGAAAAGGATGGAAACAGGTGAAAATCATGAGCAAGGCTGTTACCCCATAACAGACGAACATTGGAAAACTTTTAGCTGATGGAACATTGGTGGTCTAAGAACTCAAAGCCTTTGTCAAATACATCTGTGGTTTGCCTTTGCAGATCTTTCCTATCCTAAAACATTGAAGGAGTTAGAAGCCTCAATAACTTACTACTGTTTTCTTTGCTTTGCTCCGATGTGTTCTGCTTCTTGCCCTGCTGTCCAAGTCTGTACTTCTACATATTGAAAACACAAGATGCGTCACCAAGGTTCTTGTCATAAGGGGCATATAAAACCTAAGGGAGATGGATCCAAACCTGTAAATGACTCTTTAGATGATATAATGTCAACCCTTTTAAGCCCATAACCCTCAAGACTGACTTTGGAGTCGCTTCTGCATGATATGAACACAAACACGAGAGAAATTAAATTTCCAGATAAAAAACATGATTAACTTTTTGAGTCAGAGGTCAGAGCAATCAATACAACAAAAAGATGATTTCAGGATTATTTCTATACATGTTTGATGATCAGGAGATTCGGAACATCATACTGTTTTGCCAGACGAAACCAATGTTGAACAATTCACAAGGTAGAAGAAAATGTCAAAGGATTTGAGCACCTCTGGCCAAAGGTAAATTCTTTACAATGTTCGGTTGAGTTGAAGCCATTATTAACTAAACGAGTGACTACATTTCCTGACAGAAGAATGGTAAACAAACATAAACACGATCCCATTTCAAACTTTCCCAAGTTCTTAATTTGTCTGCAGCTGGCTTTGTCAATTTCACCCACACGTGCCCAGATCAGCAAGAGGAAAAACTGATAAGATATTTCTACTCATTGAAGTTTCAATACTAAAAAAGATCAAAACTCCAGTATAGTGCATTTTATCACAAAAGAGGGCCAAATCATACATTTGAGTAAACCGTTAGCAACCAACAGTCAGTGTCGAATTTCAACACAGACATGCTAAGAAGAACAGGACAAGAAAGGACAGTACAAATGATTTACACAACTACTCTTCCAAAAGCAAGCCAAATCCATGTTACTCAACTAGCCTAATCAGTAATCACACCATGATCATGCCAATTAGTACAACATGAAGCCTGCAAAAGTGAAGATAAGAAGAGAAATGAGAGAAGAAGAAAACTCACTGTCAGGGCCACCAAGCTTTGTAACAGCATCAACAAACCGTTCATGAAGATCAGCAGTCCATCTCAGCCTTGGCTTTGGATCCCTTGTCATCATAACCCCACCACCGTTTCCACTCATGTCATAAGGATGAAAATTCCCTCCCATTCCGCCACCTCCACCGCCACCTCCACCGCCGTACAAGCTCTCCATCACCACCAGCACCAACACCGCAGAATTCAGCTATCACCACCGCCCCACTCCACCACCATCAAAAACCTCTAATTGATAGTTTCTTTCAGAAAGACTAAATTTTCCTATTAGCTTTCCTCAATTCTCTCTTATAAGCAAACCCTTTTAGGCTTTTTAGCTTTATCAGTCTTTTTCAAACTCTGGTTCACTTTATTCTTGACAAACAAGAACAGAACAAAGCAACTGGAGAACGAACTTCAGAGAACCCAAAAAAGCGCAAATTGTATATTGTGCAACAAGTCACTGTAGCTTTTATCTATAAAAAGATGCAAGAACCTAATTGAACTTTTTCTTATGGGCTTCTGATTAATGGAAGAAAATCAAAGAAAATTGTTCTTACTAGTTAATACTACCAAGAGGAAGGGAAGAATCGGGTTGATCAGATAAGAGAGAAAAGCTTACAGCTTTCCAAAGAGACTATAAACTACTACACCAGCTGGTGTCAATGATTTCAACTCTGCTTTTCTGTTCATGAAAAAAGGGAATTTAAATTTAGTATAAACAAACAAAAACACATTGGATTTTTTTTTTATTATTAATGTTCTTTGTCTGTTGTCTGTTGCGTGTGTAAACATACATAACAAAAACATTGTATGACCATAATATCATTTAGTATGTATGCGTTTTATGTTAACTACTATTTGGCCCCCAGAATATTTATCTTACGTTATTCTAACCCAATAAAATCTTATTATTTCGAATTTTGATTTTCTTTTCTTCTTTTTTTTTTTTCTGTAAACATCATTTCATGTAGATGTTGCACATCATAGTGTTAGGTTGACCTTGATTAGGCAAGCAGCATTTTATCTGTTTTAGTTATCATGTCCTTTAACATTTGTTCCATTCACTGTTAATAAAATGATTAGAGTTTCATACTTCTATTTAATTGTCAATCTTACATGCATATATATTATATGGTAAATACATAGCTTACCCTAGTGGCTAAGGTTATAAAAGCCTAACAGGCCGAGAGTTCTTCCTAGCATCTGCTTTCACTAACAGACTAATTAAACTTGAGGGAACATCAAAAAAATACCTATCACAATCTAAAGCCTCTTTTGCTAAGCATCCGCACACATGTTATTATCCCTACATGTGTGCTTAAAATTCACTAGCCAATTCAAAAGATTATATAAACATCTTAGCTCCGGGACAAGTGGAGTCTGTGACTGATCCTTCAATCGACTGACAAGCTCAATAACTACCTAAGAATCAGACTCAATTATAAGTTTGGTGATACCTCTTTTTACTGCAACCTCCATTGTCAGAGCTATTGTTCTTAGTTCAGCAGTTTCTATGGAACACACCCCCAGGTTTGAGTTGAAAGCTATTAAGAAACGACCAGCTTCGTCCCTAAGGATAGCACCAGCCGCTGCCTTTCCTGTGGTTAAACAAACAGCCCCATCACAGTTTGCCTTCACCCAATCCTAACTCGGACTTTTTCCAGTCCTACAAAGTTTCAACATGGACCCCTCTTCTACTGAACTTGGTCAACCTGCTACACTTGTCAATTTCCATTGATTTATGGATTGCCACTCTGATCGCCTGATCAACACTTATGGTACCACCGTTGAAAAACTTGTCATTCCTCCAACTCCATAACAGCCAACACGTGACCCCAAAATTAGTCTTCCATCTTAGATCGTTTGCACTCAGATTGGTCCACAGCCATAAATTGATGTCTTGCTGAAAAAATGTTTGGCTTCTGTCCCTGGGCACCAGCAACCTCCACACATCTGTTGCCAAAGAGTAATCTCTCAAAGCATGAATTGTTGATTCCGCTCCTTGGTTGCAAGAGGAACATACCTCAGTTTGCACTGCTCCTCTTTTTTTACATAACACGTTCATTGGGAGCCTATCGTGCAAGGCCAGCCATAAGAACGACTGTATTCTCTATGGTCCATCCCAGCTCCATACCTTCTTCCAGTCCCTATTCACCTGCAAAAAAGTATTATCAAGTGCCAACTCGTATGCCGACTTGACAGAGAAGTTACTGTCTTGTTGAACATCTAAGAGGGCCAGTCCTTCTCTAAGCTCTCCGTCGGTGGTGGCAACCTACAAACTTGAGCAACCACATCACGAGGGAGAAACAAGCTAATTTTCACAACATCCCAACTACCATCAGGTAAATTGAACTCCACCACTGGCAAATCCCTCCAATCAGCTGGTACAGGTGTCAAGGCTTGCTCTGCTAGTTTCCCCACTCCTTCAACCCAAACATCTTCCCAAAATCGAACTGTTCTCCCATTCTCTATAAACCAATTTAACCCCTTTTGAACCAAATGAAAGACATCGAACACTCCCTTCCATGTATGGGATGCACTCTTGCTTCTTCGTAAGCGTAGAGAGTCTCCCTACCTTTTGCAGTATTTTGCTCTGAGAATTTGAACCCATAGGTCGTCCTCCTTACTGATTAATTCCCATCCTATTTTCATCAAGAAAGCCATATTATTCTCCCGAGTTTTTCTTAGTTCAAGGCCACCTTTTTCTTTGGAGCTACAAACCGTATCCTAGTTGATGAGATGCAATTTTTTTTTGTTCACAGTGGATCCCCAAACAAACTCTCGAACCAACTTATCAACATCGTCGCAAACAGCTACCGGGAGCCTAGTTGATTGCATTTGGAACATTGGTATAGACTGGAGACATGATTGTGCTAACCTAATCCTCCCTGCAAGAGACAATTGTTAGCTTTCCAACTAGATAGTTTGGCCCTAACTCTATCCAACATCTCATTATAAGTAGACTTCGTGACTCTTCCGTGTAATAGGGGTGACCCAAGGTATTTTCCTAGGTTGTTGGTCACCCCAAATCCAAAACCTTCACTGATGGATCTTTTCAATTGCACTGGTGCATTCTTAGAGAAGAAAATTGAAGTTTTCTGCCTGTTTATTCTCTCCCCTGATGCCCTGCAAAATGCATACAAAACATTAGTGATTACTTTTACCTATTCTAATGTGGCTTCTGAGAATAAAAACAGGTCATCCGTAAAGAATAAATGAGAAATTAGAGGCCCATGCCCTATCCTAATGCCTTTCCACTCATTTCTATTTACCGAAGCTGCCACATTATGAGCTAGAACTTCCGTACACAAAACAAGAAGGTAAGAGGATAAAGAATCTCCCTGTCTAATTCCTCTGCTTAGGTTGAATTTTGAAGTTGATATACAACACTTAACCAGCTGGATAATCTTCGTCGGAATCCTTGCTGCTGCTAGTGCCATTTCAATAAATTCCCATTCTAACCGATCGTAGGCTTTCTCCATGTCTATCTTGATTGCCATCTAGCATTTCTTCCCCTTCTTCAGCCTCATGGAATGTATTGACTTCCTGCACAATCAGCGTGTTATCCGCCAGTTTATGACCCGGTACAAAACTCGTTTGGGTTGAGCTGATCAACTTCCCCAAGACGGGTTTCAATCTGTTGACTATCAGCTTAGTTATGACCTTATAGATCATATTACATAGGCTGATAGGGCGTAATTGAGATAGATGACTGATTTGATTCGTCTTAGGAATCAGGACTAGGAGCGTTTCATTGATTGCATCTAGTATTTTTCCCTTCATCGAAGCACTTGATGACAAATTCTGTGACTGATGTTCCCACTATATTCCATTAAGATTGAAAGAAAATCGGGTCTATCCGTCTGGTCCCGGAGCTTTATAAGTTCCCATATCAAAAACTGCTTTCTTTACTTCTTCTCCTCCTAATGGTTTAGCTAGTGAATCAATCTCCCCTTGGGACAGTGCTGGAAAATTCGAAAACCACTCATTGTACCTTCCTTGCTCTGATTCTCTAGTGAACAGCCTCATGTAGAACTCTACAACCATGTTCTTCATGCTAATCTGATCCTCAACCCAAAATCCATCATCACACCGCAACCTCTGTATTCTGTTTCGCTTCCTTTTAGACAACGTACTCAGGTGAAAAAATCTGGTATTTTTGTCCCCAAATTACAGCCATTTATTCCTGGATTTCTGAAACCATAGTATCTCTTCCTGAACTAATGTATCTTCTAGTTTCAATTGTATTACTTTCCTTTGTGCATATAGCTGCTCAGAAGCATTTCAATCAATTATGCCATCCAACAATTCAAGCTTCCTGGTCAATTTCCTTTTCCTAACAAAAATATTCCCAAAAATCTTCCTATTCCTGTTGATAGCTTCTCCCTAAAGTCTACTTCTGCGGTGCTATATTCTGTATTCTTCAGCCAGGCTGCTTGGACGAAGGCTTGGGAATCCACATGGGTTAACCAACAAGCTTGGAACCTAAAAGGTCGTTCGTCTAGTTCTGGAGCCAGATTCCGAGCAAGCTTAAGTTGGATTGGCCGATGATCCGATTTAATTATGCACAAATGTCCTACCGAACTCTCTGGATATTTTAATCTCCATTCCATGTTACATAATGCTCGGTCTAGTCTTTCCTGGAGATTGCTCTTACGTCCCTTTCTCCACATAAATTTTTGTCCAACAAAACCCATGTCCTCCAATCCACTCTCGTGCAAAAACTCATTCAGCTCCCGGCACTTAGTCCTGCTTACTTCAAACCCCCCAGTTTTCTCATCAACACTAAGGTACACATTTAGATCACCGATTACCACCCAAGCCTCTGAGCATTGATCCTTTAACGCCACCAGGTTTTGCCACAAAATTTTTCTGACCTGTGATGCCGGAGAAGCATAGACTGTTGTACAATATCCCCTATCATTTCCTACTTCCCATAGAAAGTGAACCCACTGTCTAGAAGAAGCTACAATTTTAACTGTTACATTGCTTACATTCCAAAGAACCCATATTTCCCCCGAGAACCCAACAGCATCTTCAATAAACCCATTTGAGAATCCTAAACTCCTGACCGCTCTTCTAGCATCTTCCACACTGATCCGTGGTTCCAAAACTATCAGAATTTTTGGTTTAAAACTCCTAATTAAATGTTTAACGGCAGGCCTAAATTTCTTAGAACCTGCTCCTTGAACGTTCCAAGAGATGATATTCATAATAACAATTAAAATTGAAGGTAAACCTTAAATCAAAAGTTAAAAATGCAACAAATCATAAATACCTAGTTTCCCGTGGGGGGAATTGATGCTTCCATGCCAGGCACAGCCGTCTCCATCACTGCTTCTTGCATGTCCCTCCAAACCGGGTCGGGATACTTATTAAGCTACTTTTTTGGGTCCAACAACATGGAATCCCCTAGTGGAGCTTCCATTTGGTCACCCCGCTACGAATCTGGAGGTTCCATTGACTGTTGCCCAAGATCCTGACCGCGGTTCTGACGGGAATCCACCACCATGGCCGAATCTTCCTGCCGCGGTGACTTCTCCTTCAATTTTGGTGCAAGTCTGCTTCTTTTCTTTCCTCCTTCCGTAGGAATGGAGTATTCTGAATCCCACCCAAAATTGGATAAGTGAATTTGTCCTGACTGTGGCTTAATTTTTCGTTTGAAGGATTGTTGTTGTTGACTTTTCCTATTTTACCTCTTTATTTTATTTCGTTGTTACCCCGATTGACCTTGCTCCCCAGTGTATACTCCGAAATTTGTCTCCTTTCCAACGATATTGGGCCCATCTGTCATTTTGGACTTAGTAGCCTCATTAAATGAGCCCTTGGTTTGATGGGCTCTAATGTCCAATGATGAGACTAATTGTGTTAGACCCACAAAGTTGGCTTTAGCCCCCATAGAAGGGACATTTTTCACACTCAGTTTTTGGGCTCTTGGGCTTTTCAGACTTGGCTTGATCTAGGCCTCCGCTTGCTTCGAGCTAGAAAATGAGATGTCCTCAATTTTACCCTGTTTTGGAACCATTGGAGCTTCCTCTGCACACTTGTCAGGTTCCTTGCAAGTACGTTGAACCTTGAGCCGCCAGGATCTTGCTGCTTTGGCTATAGAGTTGCTCTATCCGATGCCAGTTCCGATTGCCGGAGAAATCTTCCCCTTCTCTTCTGTGCTACCATCCAAGGTCCTAGACCCACATGGCCGTCCCCTTCAATCCCATTACTCTGGTTAATAATCCCACCTTGATGCCCCTCTATTCCATCCTTTGGCTCCGCCCTCTGTTCATCGGTTTCAGTCGTCGTTTTAACTACTGGGGGTTGCATCCTTAATTCCGTCGTGCAAGAGGCAATATTGTGTCCTAGAAACCCACAATTGTAGCAGATTAGTGGCAAACCCTCGTATTCCACAGCCTGTCATCTATCCTCCATCTGAAAGCTAGGAGTCAGAGGTTCTTCCAAATTCAATCCTCTATCTGAAAGCTAGGAGTCAGAGGTTCTTCCAAATTCAATTCGACCGCCACTCGTGCAAATTTGCCCCTATCCGCGTTCAGCGTTTTCTCATCCATTTTCAGTGTCCTGCCTATAAAGTTTTCATTTGAGAATAGAGCGATTTCGTGGTAGTATTCCACCGGAAGGTCGGGCAGACGAATCGACATCACCACCGAGGAAACCTTCGTCGTTGAACCTCTGAATCCAGGCATCCATCTCTGCACTGACAAACAATGCAGTCCAACAAACCAAGCCCCCCGAGTGCCTTTTCCTCATCCTTTGCATCTGGCAATAGGACCCCAAAGAACCCATTGGTAAAGTCTATGATCTCATATTCCCCATTTAGACACCATCCTCTTGACTGTATTGCTCAATCTTCTGTAGGTCAATGTTTCACCAACCAGTGACACAACTACCATATGTTCTCAGTCCTCCCTGAATAAGGCCTTTAATTTCTCAGAAAATTTGAGCTTCCCTCCCATCGGCATCTTCTCCATTATAACATCACCCGGCTCAATTTGGACCTTCGTGGAAGCCCTTCTTTTCCTCATGCCCAAGAGCCTTTCTTTGAATGACAAAGGAGGCTGGGAACTCATCTCTACCTCTATCGTGTCCATTCGGTCATCGCACTTGTCAGGCAGACCCTTGCCTGGGTCACCCTCCATTCGTTTAATGCTCTTGTTTTCGCTTGAGAGAATTTTGACTAGAGAGAGAATTTAGATCCGTCTATCTTACATGCATATATGGTTACCATGAAATCCTTCTTGTTTTCACTCTCTATACCACATCTCATCTTTTCCCTAAAGATCCGCTTTTTATGTATATCCTATGATGATAGCAAGTGACATGCTTAAGTTGAGAAAAAGAAATGAGTTCAAACATTAATGCTACTTTGTCGTCCTGAATTATGTATGGACCAACCGATTTGTTTCAATGTCTATGTTTAGAAATAATTTAAAAATGATCAAGATGAGGAAGAACATTCGGGTCCTTTTGAAAATTTTAAAATCAAAAAAATTTTTATCGACTCAATAGCACTGGCAAATAAATCTAGTTGTTTAAATAGGATCGACTAACTATTATCCTTTTTAATCGATCCATTATTATTGGCATTTTCTTTAATATTCCATCGTAAGATAGCTTCATGCAAAAGTAATGACTCCGCTTAATATTTTACACCACGACCAGCATGCTCGTTTTTCACCTTAATCCAATGGAATAATGATGGGAAATTATTTGTGGTGATTAATAATACAGAGGTCAAACTGAAGAAACAAAAGACCGAAAGGACCGAAAGTTCATTATCTCATTATGTTTTGGTGTGATTGTAAATAAATGGATTCTTGGAGGAAAGATCGGCGACGAATCTGAAGAAACATGATAGCCGAAAACGACAGGAACCATGGTTGGCTACAACAAGGAGCATATATTCACGAAATAATGTCCGTTGGATTGGTCAAATTTTGAATAAAGACTTTTAGGTCATTACATCTAACGGTGTAGATACATAGTTTCTCGGCCTTTGGATTCTGAGATGGAAGGCAGCGTCCACAGAGGATAGAAAAGCCAGTGCCACGTGGAATATTCGCCGAGAAATGAGGTGAAGGGAATATTCGCGTTCTCACGTGCCACGTCGTCTGGGCCGCCCGTAAGCATTTTTTAATTTTCGCATACGACATGAAGACAATCAAAGGCTAGATGTGCTTACGAAACGGAAAGAGACAAAATAATACGCAAAAAGACAAAATTACACATTTACAGTAATGATATTTTACTTTGTTAAAAATATTACTCCCTCCGTCCCATAATTATTGTCCAATTTTACTAAAATGAAAGATTTTATTTTTAGTCAAACTTAACTATATTTTATCTTGAACAACCGGATATACCCTACATAAGTAATTGTTTAACCACAAAGATTTTAATGGATAATGCTTTTACTAAGGACAAATGTGTAACTTGATCCATAAAAAGTCAAATTGGACAATAATTTTGGGACAAAATTTTTTGGGCAAAGTGGACAATAATTATGGGACGGAGGGAGTATTTACGACATAATCGACGATTAAATTGAATCGCTTATCTCCGTTCCATAATCACCTAATGAACTGAATTTCTGCATTAACTAAAGTACTTTCTATCTTCATTTCTTGTCAAATCTTATAAACTAATAAATATGATGTTAAAGAGATGCATATTATAATGCTATAAACAACTAATTACTCTCCCTGTAGCAAAAAAATAATTCACATTAATTATTGAGATTTGTACTAAATTTTTGTGATGAAGAAGTATAATTATTTTGAAAAAAAAAATGACATATGAAACAAGTGTCATTTTAAAAAAGTAGATTTCAAAAATAATTTTCAGAAAAAATTTAAAAACATTATTGATTGCTAAAAAAAACATAAGATACAAAAAAAATGGAGAATTAAATGACAATCTGGTGATTAGGATATTATACTTATTGGTATTAGACTTAGGTTCAATTCTCACCAATAGGTATGCAAGGAGGTTTTACCCACATTTAAGTAGGATTCACTTGGGTGGATTTTTTTTTTTCCTTCAAATTGATCAAAGGAAATCATTCATTGTAGATAGCAAAAAATAGTACACATATAGATAGGGGTATTCACGGTTTGGCTAAAACCGGTGGAATCACCCAATCCGCTCATCGGTTCGGATTAACGGGCGGATTATAATTATATTTTTAAATCGACGGATTGAAAAATTGAAAACCGGTCAATCCAGTCCGAATTACGGTTTGACAGTCCCGTCTGTCAATCCGGACCGGACCGTATATATATTATAAAATAATAATATATTGGTTTTGTATATATAGCGTCGGATAGAAACTTTTATCGAAAGTGCTAAGTTGTACTATTGGCATTGTTGTTGTTCCCTCTACATTAGACCTTGTTGAAGGTCGTGTGTTTGAATCCTCTATGGACTATTTTTTTTTTTTTCCAAGAAAATCCTCCAAAAAAAGGCTGAAAAAGGCCCAAAAAATTTCAGGAAAAGCTGCCAAAAAATGTCCAACAACAAAAAAATGTTTAATTTTTTGTCCAAAATGAAAAAGTCCAATCAGAAGCCCAAACCGCCAATCCGCCCAAACCAAACCGTTAAAAATGGATTGGATTGGTCCGGATTATACACCAATCCGGTTCGATGACGGATTGAAAATTTTTCAAACCGTAATGAACAGTTTGGTTACGGATTACTATCAATCCGGACCGTGAACACCTCTACATATAGATAGCCTTATATCAAATCGTACTTTTAGAATACAAAATTTGCGTTGTATTAAATGCACAACGAAGCCAAAGGTTCAAAAAATACAAGGCAAGAAAGTTATTACTTTCATATAAATTTCTTCTATCTTAAAACTATTGTCATATTTATAACTTTATATATTATTTCTTTTGTTTTGAAATAATTATGTAGGCTTTTTTTTTTACCAATTTTTAGTAAGAAAACTAAGAAAATTATTTTGAAATAGAATGAGTTAAAATGTATATTAAAGAGAACACTTAGTTTGAAATGGAAAAATACTTAACTAAATTTTGACTAATTTGAACTTTTTGTGCATATAATAATAGAAAGATTCCAAGTTATATATTTACAAATCAACCAAGCATAATTAATAAGAACATGATTCTACAAACTGAACATGATTGGCCTAATGATCTCAAACCAACCAACCATAATAATAGCATCTAACTCATTCCAAAAATTAAACTCTCTCTCTTTTTTCTTTTTTTTTTCTTTTTTTTTTTTTTTAAGAATTCAAACTCAGAAGTCAGAACTTACTTAAAGAAGAAAACACCGACGAAGTTTATATCATTTGAAGCCAACAATTGCTAGCATAAATTAAAACTTTAAAACTAATTTTGAACCCCAAAAAAAGGACTTTATTTAACTTATTTTTATAAAATACAAACTTGATTAGTATCTAGAAATACTTTCGTAAAATTGCAAAAAAGTTGCTGGTTGAAATCGTTAAGCAGATATCATCGGAGTACTATATATGTTCGAATATACATTAAACTCTCTCTAAATTAAAATTGTTTGTCCACAAATATTTAATTAAATTTAAAGAGTATTTTTTCCCCAATTTTATTAGAAACAAATTGTAATGTTGTTACAAAGAATATATATAAACGACGGCTTTTAAATGTATAATACTAATATTATGAGAAAGTTCTTCAAGTGTACATTCTATAGAAAACCAATGCCATTAGATATATATTCTACTAAATATTCTTAGATTTTTTTTTTGGTATTTTAGGTAATTATCAATTTCTTAAATTCTTTAACCTATTAGTTATATAGGGAAGTCTTGAAAAAATATTATCTCGTTATTGAAAAAGACAACTATCACTGAGTCCAACATTTCAGTGGAACATTTTGTCATTTAACATGATTATTTATCCCTCGAATTTTTTCATGTGTGATTTTTCCTTCTTTTTCGTTTCTCCCTTCTTTATAACCACATATTAGATCGTGCAAAAATTCATCTAAAAATACTACAAATGTTTAATTCGCACATAATTTTTCACTCTATAATCATCATACATAAAAATTTTCCACCGCCAATTCGTATATCTCATTATCTTTCTCCAACAAATAACCCCTCTTTATAATTCCATACATTTCTTCGTTCTTCTTTATATTATTTCTCCGCAAAACTCTGCTATGTTGTGGAAGTTTAGAGCGCGACTTATGTCTCTGTTCAACGTGATTCATCTCTAATCATCTTAGCTACGAGCAATGATATTGAAAGTCATTCATGCTGTTCACCGATTCTTGAAGATCATGTGATGTTCCTTTCCGAGATTTCCATGTTAGCCATCTTTCTTGGATTCCAAGAGATGATAATATCGTTGCTCATTTATTTGTTAAATATACCAAGTCGATTTCTATACCAGAACAATCATAGAGTGAATCTCCGAACTTTATATTTCAATTCGTGATGTACGATTCCAATAATCACTAATAAAAATTTGCTTTTATAAAAAATATATATATATATATATTATACAAATCGATCTCTATTTTTCATTAATTTATACCAGTACTAATTTCTCAGTAAACTAAAATGAGAACTAGAGATTAATTATCAGCGTCAACATGCAAAACTTAATCACGGAATCTTTTCCCTTTTTCTCCCAATTCGGGGACCGAATTATGGAATCAAATTCATCAAATCCAATAAGATAGAGAATCTCTTAAACTGGAAATGGGACCATATTTTACTTTTCTTTTTTTCTCTTAAATTTTTTTTACTCTTCTTTTTCTATAGGGAACAAAATAGAGAATAAAAAGAATCGGAATATTTGAATAAAATTTATTGACACGTTTCGAGGTGTCCGCCAAGGGCAGGCAGGTCTAATGGCCAACCAGAATATTCTTTCAGGCCATTATTCATTCAAGGCTTTGAAAATGTTTGTTTGTTAGTGGTATTGTGATATTGTTCCCTTTTTTTCCATTGATTAAAACCATTATTCTAAGTGAATTATTCTTAAGAACGATGTGACTATGTGAAGAGTACATAGTAATTCCTGAAAGCAAATGAAAGAGAGAGTGAATTTGAGAAAGCGAAATGGACTATGAATGAGATGATAAGGTCAAAAACTTCTATTTTTAAATCCCCCCGTCCGAGCAGGGAAATGGATAATGATATACTAGTTAATACTCTCTTCGTTTGAAATGATTATCCGATTTTAACTTTTTTTTTTAGTAAATTATATGGCTAGACAACAGTGACTTAACTTAGTACATAGTTAAGCATCTACAATCCTGCTCTAGCAGCAATGAAATACAATTAGGGGCGACATCAAAAAGATATAACTCTCAATCGACATTAAATTTCTCTTTAGCTAACATATCAGCACAAAAGTTACTCTTCCGATAAGTGTAAATGAAGCACGCCTCCCAGTCTGTCAATAAAAAGTTATGAATGCCTCTTAATTCCGGATCGAGAGGGCACTCTGCTTTCCCCACGAGGCTTTGGGCTAGTTCGATTTTGAACTTTTATCTTAGTACAAATTATATTAAAAGTAAAAAATATAAATAAGACAATCCTTTTAGGTGGAGAGAGTATAAACTGACTGCCCGAGCAGGAAGTCAAACCTATCCTCCGAGGCCATGTGAATAATTGAAGGCAAGAAATCTAGCACTATGGGAGGAGAACAATACACCAGAAAAAATAGCGGCAAAAACCAACGAGGATATACAAATCAGACATAATGCAAGAAAGAACTTACATACAGAGCATATAGGCAAAAAACCCAGAAAGAAATCAAGGGAATCCAATTCTAGGCCTCATCAGTAATCCAATCAAAGACATGCCTAGCAGACACAAAACAAAAGCGGCTCCCAGATCTTCATCAGCATCTTTCAATTGCATCAGTATATATTGAAGGGTTGATTGCAGACCGAGATACTTCAAACAGTAGGAGTTTCACCCCTCTTTCCTAAACAAAATATATAGGTTGCATTGCATCACATGGGGGTTGGTGAAAGTTTTCAAGTCCTGGGGAAGATGTCTCTCGGCCGACCACAAGCAAACTATATGTGATTAGTCATTTTAGTGCGTCTACAAGTATACACACCCCTTACACTAAACAACCCTTAAATCCCTTCCTAAGAGCGGTTTCATCCAAGTTTCTTCCAATAAATACCAGCTTGCTGATCCTTTTCTCATTCGGCCCCCATGTCTTCCCTGGGCAGCCATCCAAAATTGAATGCACACCCTGAAAAGTTGAAAAGAAGCACATGATTCAGAGACTGCAGGTTGTACATAAAGCAGGGACAAAATCAAATATGAATAAATCTGAACCTGTAGAACATAACGTTCTTCAGAGCCGCTCACAGATAGAACTCCTTTAAGCCTATATAAATCATCTCCCTTTTCTTCAATAAGTCTTTCGATCCAATCATCCACCTAGAGAAAAAGAAACCGGCCCTAGACGTTAAAAGCCTTCGAGGTTTCATAAAGATGACAAGCTAGCTTATTTTGAAAGTAATCACCTCATCCAAGTCTAAGGTGCCCTCAGAGACAATACTAACACTGGAGACGGCAGAATCATGAACGTGATCATGATGGTGTCCTTTGTGATGATCTGTCAAAATCAAACCATCAGTTTGTTTGACTTGAGTTCAATGGCCAACGTATTTTGAGTTCATACAGATGCCATAAAAGTTTAGAACTTAACCGATAAAAAACAGTTCCACAACTTGGTATGCAAAACGAACTGCTTAATTTAGTATAGGCGACTGGTTAAATGTGGATCCTCTAGCACATACCAAGAAAAATAAGTAAGCATCATTGATACCTAGAACAGCAGGGAAAACGAAGCCATCACAAACAAAATTGATACCTAAGGGCTAAGCGGACAGCCACCATTCAACATTGAAACCAATAAAACAATGAGCAGAATTTTATTGAAAAATTATTACCTTAAGAATTCCAATTGAGGTGATAAACAATGATAATGAATAAAGCAAGCATTATAGGTCAAGCTTGGAGAATTCCCCATGTATCGTGTCATAGGCAAATAGAAGGAAGATCAAAATTTTGAGGATTACTACATACAGCATTCAAGCTAAGTGTGACAGAGGGGAACAAAAGCAAGTTACAAGGAAAATAATTTAAAAACAGAAGCCTTTGATGCCTAGGCATATACACCACAAGACATCATGTCAAGAGCGCAAACACCTAATTTCAGTCGTCACTCGTCAAACACTATTGATGCATAGCAAAGATTATTAAATGAAAACTGAGTGAAAAACAAAAGGAAAAAGGTCAAAAAAAAAAATTAAAAAATTAAAAAAAGAAAACCAGTACCATGACCAGATTCATGTCCATGGACACAATGGGAATTTTCTGATTGAACTTCTGACTCAATTCTGCACAAAACGAAAAGGAAAAAGAAAAATTAAAAATAATGCTTGTATACTAACAGAAAAGAACCTCCTGCCATCTTTAGATGTCAAAAGGCACAATTACGTGCTGATAGTTAAATCCTCCAACGGAAAGTCACCTGTCAAGATCGTAACCTCCCACTCCTAGAACAAAGTCCATGTCCACCACCCCAAACCTGGCTTGCTTTATTTGAGCCATCCCATTGATAAGCTTAAACATAGAAACAACAGATTTGAGCAATCTAATATTATTAAAACATGAAGGAACTGAATGGAAAAGCAATTTTAAATTGAAGATTGTAACAGGAATGGGAAAGAAAATACTAATTTGAAAGCCGTTTCCACTGGCTGAACAAAATAATACAAGGGACACAAAATTGTTCCATTTTAAGAAAAAAAACGTGACTGAAAAGCAGAAAACACCATGATCTAGCAGAGTTATCAGTGTCGAGATATTAAGTATAGGAGTTATTTTTAGAACTCTCATCTAAAAAAAATAATAAAAAATAATAAAAAATCACAAGATCACTTTCAAAGATGAAGCCAAAGAAAACTGAGAAAACGTGCACGAAATAGCTCTCCAACAATCACTTTAACAAGCATATATGATCGTCAAAACATAATTCAGGAAGACAAGATTGTCTAGAAGAGTCCAACCTTGATTCTTCGAAGCAATGCCTCCAGCTCAGCCTCTGATACCAAATCTATCTGCCGAAATCGTTAGGAAAACATTAGCAAGGTGTATCTATACTTATACGTCCCCTTCAGAGAACAATCTGAAAGGTCAAGGTGGGGGCAAAATTTGAACATCTCCCCTCTTTCTTGGAAAGATAAATTTTGAAAAATAAATTTGAGAAAGGAAGTTTACCTTGTTAAGAACAATACGATCTGCGTATGCAACTTGCTCCACTGCTTCATTGACCACAAATCTAGGCTTCACCTCATTTAAATGTTGCATGGCATGCTTTGAATCAACTAAAGTAACAACTCCATCGAGTTTCACCTCTCCTGAAAGCAGCTCATCTGAACAAAATGTTTCAATGACAGGACCAGGTTTTGCAAGGCCTGCAAATGATTAAAAACATCAGAAGGATATTTTTCAAAAGGTGCCATGTTAACATATCAACTTCGAGGGTTAACAACCCAGAACAAAAGTAAAAAATGAAGACAAATAGAATGACATTAACTTACCTGTGGTTTCTATAACTATATGATCAAAACTATCTCGCCTGTTCCTAACCAACTCCAAGAGCATTTTAACAAGATCTCCTCTAACTGTGCAACATAGACATCCATTATTAACCATGACAATGTCCTCATTGGAAGAGGAGTGGCTAGCAACTAATGAACCATCAATGTCTACCTCACCAAACTGCAACAAAAACCTCTAAGATATTAGATATATGACTAATGAATGCAATAAAACTTTGACAAGTAGTGTTCAAATATCATTACAAAATGCAGCATTTGTACAGTATTCAAAAACATTTCTAAGCTTATTGTGCATACAAACTCAAGATTGGATCAAATGCATTTCCGGTTGGATTAAAGCATCTTCTCAGTAAAGAAAAATGATTCAACTAACAAAACACATGCACGAAAATGCGTTTCTGATTCACATATCCATTTTCTCCTAAGCATCAACAATGTTAAGTTAAAGCAACAATCCCGAGTTAAGAGAAAATTAAAAACAAATAAAAAATAACCGGGGGGGGGGGAGGGGGGGAGAAGTTACCTCATTTTCAATCACCGCAATTCGCTTTCCGTGATTTGATGTCAATATGTGATTTAACAGAGTGGTCTGAAACACCAACAACCAAGAATCAGCAATGTTGTAGAAGGACCAAGAAAAAAAATCACACAAGAAACAGACACACACAAATCTACTGCTAGAACGAAGCTTTCAATACAACAATCTCGTAGCATAACAATCAAGCAGAGTCAAAATTCATTTTCTCAATAGAAAAATTCCACTGGTTTTTTTTCATATATAACCTTGCCGGAGCCAAGGAACCCAGTTATGATGGTTGCCGGAATGCGATCATCGAGGTTTAATCCAGCAGCTATAGCGGTATCGGAGTATTGAGGAATATAATCAGACGCAGTGCAGAAGTTTCTGGAATTGAAATTTCTGTAGAAGAAAGAATGGAGAGCCCGGAGCGGCGTAGAGGAGGATTGAGCAAAACGACAAGAGAAAAAAGAGGGAGACAGCGTTCGGGTGGTCGTTCTCGAGAACAAACATCGGAGTGTGGCGGTGGCCATTTCTGAAGGGCGGGTAAATTGGGAGGGCAAAACCTTAAACCCTAGAAGATGGGAACTCAGGGGGGTTTAAGCTTTTCGATTCATCATTATAAAATAATCCGGAATTCCAATTTTGTGCCTTCAATCACTCAATCGATTCAATCTTATATATAGTAGGAGTACTAAAATGTGCTTTAGGGTCAAACACGACCAAAAGTGCAATTTCACTAATAACATCATTCCCAATTTTTTTTATACAACCTATTCCTCATAAATTTATATATTCTATCCTTATCAAAATGATTGTTTTGATTTGAGTTTTTATTTTTAATACAAATTGTAAACACGAAAGTTCAAATTTGACAATTATTTTGAGACAAAAAAGAGTTTTAAATCTAATTACAGAAGTTATTGTTGCCTAATTGTGGCTGAAGAGTTATATGTTTGACAAAGAACATGCTACATCCAAGAAGGGAGCATCCTTGATACACAATTCAATCACTAATGAAGCTGCATAATTGGATTACAGCATAATTATGGTGAGTGATGAACTAACTATAAGAATGAATTCCATTTGTTTTCAAGAGAAAGTCAACAGAGCTCGATCTTAATCCAACTGGGAAACATTATCCAACGAGGACTAGATTCATGTTAGCTCTAACTGGCTAAATTATGATAAACCCCATCAAGCTGTAGTTTTAGAGAACCATGTTAGTCACAGCAACAATAGAGATCTATCTTTCCGTCATCCTAATTCTTTTTAAATATACTCACTCCATCTTAAAATTAATGTGGTTTAAGAAAAACTAATTCTTTTTAATAGCAATCGTGTTTACATTAAGATTCTTACTTATTAGAAGAACCGAATATATTGGAGTTGTCGGAACCACAATTGTGACAAATGACTTCAGATCTTCTTCTACTTCAACACACACAACCAAACAAAAAAAAAAAAGAAGAGAGAAATGACTTCAGATATACAAAAAAGTATGGTTTTTACTGAAGGTAAGGAACCACAATTGTGATTCTAAGATCATTAAGTGAACTAAAAATAATAAAATGTGACAGCCCCCTTTCACTGATTACAGATATCAGATTAAACTAAAACAAACATGTTGTTGCCTTGTTGTTCCTCCTTAAATGTTCATTAAGAATATGCTAATTACATATGTGGCTGCAGAAGAATATAGTGAGTGATCAATCCTGAGTCTGTTCGCAAACCTCACTCCTCCACACACTGCAAACACATTACCCAATGGAGCAAGCAACAAGACATGAATGAATTCTGTAGTCAATTTTCCAATGCAACAATTTCATTGTTCTGAGGTCTGAGGAAGGAAAAATTAGGAGGTAAAGTCATCAGATGTTCATCACTTATTAGCTTCTGGAAGGCCAGTCCTAACGTGTATCCCAATGCTCGTCCAACAGGAATAGCTACGGCATTTCCTACTTGACTGTATCTGGAAATCACAGAACATGCTAAAACTGAGTAGTGAACTTTGCATGTGAGATTGCAGAGGATAATGCAGGAACAAGAAGTCTGCTCTCAAGCGTTACCAATTCATGAAAATGTGCAGCCCCTGGCACTATGATCGCTGAACTTCCACAGCTTTCCACAAAAAGGAAAATATCTAGCTTGAAACTTTATTTATACCATAATTTCACAGGATAGATTTCCCAGTAGAAAAACTAGGACCTACTTACCTCTTCCCCTCTAAAATGCATGATCATCGGATACATTTTGACATATGAATAGGACGAGTAATATTTTGGACCACAAATCTGATGAGACCCTATTTAACTACTTCTTCCATTGTGCATCAGCCTGAAATGCATGATCATCGGATGTCTGACATATGAATACGAAGAGTCTTATATTTTGGACTAAGCAACTGATAAGACCCTATTTGACTTCTTCTTCCCTTGTGCATCAGCCTAAGCAGACTTACCATAAAAGTCTATATTATACATAGGTATATTCTTCAAAACAGCTCATCATACTGTTGAATGATTACGGTTGGCATCAAACTAAGCATATAGACAAAAGATAAAATTGTTAAAATATCAATGAGCAGGCATATTAGCACACGAGATTGACATGTTGAGTCTTCCATATACCAGAAGCCAGGGAAAGTCCAAAGCAATCAGTATTATACAATCTCTACACGGAAACTTTTGAATTTTGAATACCTGTCCTTAACAGATCCACAGAACCTGTAGAAGTCTGGGAACCCTTGTAACCTTGCGCACTCGCGTATTGTGAGTACCCGGTCTTGCTCAGGATGTAAGACAGCCTGCAAAAGTAGAAACTGACTTCAGATATGCCCAAAACCCAAAAATTGTGAGCATCTTCTATCTCAGAAATGCATTAATTAATATTACCAGGGTCTTCCAATGGGGAAAGGTTATTACAGTAGGGACTGTTTCATCCCACCACAACCTTCCAAATGGCCTGACAAGAAGCCAAGGTTAGAGCTATGTCCAAAAGCAAGAACCATGGTATTATTAGAAGGTAGCTGCTGACATATAATATTGCTACCTTCTAGACCTCCCTTGAGACAGGTTCAACGAAGAATCCGGAACCTATAAACATATAGTATAATAGAACATATACAGGTTAGTAAACTCCATCACACATTTGAATTCACTTTTTTAACATTGTTTGCAGAATGAGTGCATAGTTCTAAGTGCTTCATGTTATTTCTCGATCAAGAAAACATAGCACTTGAAGGAAGGTCAGTACTCAGGACTCCTGATTTGCCAACATATCACTCCAAACTTAAAGAGTTTCATTTAGAAGATGAATGTTTACTTCAGCACAGAAGACACACTAAAGAAATGTTTAGTAGCATAATTTTCTTTTTTCACTTCATGAAGTGATAGAAGCACCAAACTAATAATCTACAAATATTGTTCAAAATCATTGGCACACACCTGGCTTGAGTCAGACAGCACGCATATGCAAGTACAGAGGGACAGATGGAATTTGGTGGGAAAGATTTAAAATGGATACGTCTTATAAAATATGGCATGGTGGTGCTAATTTTTGTCTATAATTAAGCAGTTAGTGGAGACAGGAAAATTTGGGGGAAAAGAAAACTATTCAAGCTACAGGGAATTCAAATGCAGGTGATGCAGAAAACACTGATATCAGGAATCACATCACAATGTCAAAAACACCAAACGAGTAATAGCAGAAAATTCAGCAGCCTAAACATCAATCATCCTTGTACAGCCTTAATTTGACTGTATTCATTAAATCTGTACAACCTTTTTGAAGATGTCCAACAGTAAGCTAAGCTATACCAGCAACATGTCACATGTAACTCCAGACAATGCATTTTGTATTCATGATAATAAGCAAGTAAAAGAGGTTTGCTCTCGGGAGCCAGAGAAGGGCCATGTGAGGCTTACATGCAATACTTTGTATATATATATATATAGACGTTTTTTTTAACCTAAAAAGCTGGAGACTTCATAATCCAGTCTGAGTTTACTCACAAAAGGTTCCCCTGAAGGTAGAACAGGATGGTTTCCAGTTGTATCACGACGCACGACATTGTCCTCGCCCACAATCACCCCAGGGAGGTCCCGGAAATTCGCTCCCTAGAAAAAATAGACATGAGAAAATAAAAAGAAGCTACAAGAAATATATAAATGTAAAAAAATAGTCTCACCTTTTTGTGAGGAATTTGACAAACTCTCAGGTAGTTATCCTCGTTCATCCGATAGGGTCTATGATCATAGAGGACCTTTTTTTTCGCTGTGTTATTTTGATTAGCAGTAGAACCCAGCATCTCTGAACCAATGAAAGACAGTAAACTCAATTAGTGGCCTCAACATCTCCATGCTCCATTCACAGTGAGTAAATAAACCAGAAATATTGATGGCTCATGAAGATCCCATAAACCAAACATTTTCAAATTCATTGGCCTTACAGATGTGAGAATGTAAAAGAAACGACATGTCTGTTAAGCTCGTACACATCCCAACATGCAGAAACTTCACAATTACTCACAAGAGGATATAGATTATGGAGTACAAGAATACGGAGAACATGAATAATGATAATAAGCCAAATTTGATCGCAAACATGGTTTCGCGTGCTTTACCTTCTCTACTCAGTCTAATATACTCTTGGAACCCTGACTCAGGAGGCGACTCGTATTCCATAACCTCACAAGTTTCATCATTTGTAACCTGAACAGGAGATTGTGTGAGACTAAAATCATGAACAATTGAAAGATGTAAAATGTTCTTAATAACAACTTATAATCCTACAGGTGGAAGGTCAGAGATTGCGTCACGGAGAAAAAGAGCTGCTTCAACTTCCCGAAGCTGGCCTTCATCATAAGCCACAGTATTCCTCTGCAATGAGGAGGGTGTTAATCTGAAATTCCCGAAATAATGGAATTCAGGCTAATTTATAAACGAAGTAAGGATTCCATACTCTCAGAAATGCACATATTAAAGGACAGACATGTTTCATTTTTCTTACATGCTCATCTGAAGAACAAGTACATAATACAAAAAGTTAAGCTGTACCTCAAACTCTAGCGGTGGCCAATATCTGATGACTACATCATGCGTGGGGAGTGGAAATGGCGGCAGTTTCTGCATAGCAGGAGATAGTAATGAAAATGTTACGGCGTCAAGTAAAATAGAAATTAACTTTCTGTCTAAATCCAACAATTCTTAAACTTTATCATGGCTTAATTTCCACTGAAAGCCATGACACAAAGAAACAAGAGCAACTGCTGCAGAAAAGAAAATCTAATAATAGTGTCTTGGCAAGTGCTATATGTTCACCTCATTGGGAAGTGCCCCCCAGATAAAAACGCGCAAGCGGAATTGTGGAAGACCATAACAGCCGGCTGCAACTGTCCCAAGCCTACTTTGGTATTTCATATGCACTAAACGGCTTAAAGCATATCTTCCAAGAGAACCACCACCCAGTCTCAAGATATCAACTACATTTTCCATGAGTACATACTTGGGCTTTAAGAACTCGACTATGTCCATAAAGACCACAATCTGTTGATTCTTCTCATCAGTCAAAGGCTCGTCCATATTCCGATGCCGATTATAGCCACTGATGCCTTGGCATGGAGGCCCCCCACAGATGACATCAACTTCTCCCTACAAGATAAGGAATTGACTCTATTACTGTTCTCAGTGGTATGGAAGCACAAACAGTTGGGAGTGTCTGACAACATTTCTAAATGAACTTACAGGTAAAGGCAAGATTTTGGATCTCAATCCATTTTGAACAAAATCCTGTATGCATTCTTGAGAGTTACTGAAAAGCAAAACTCAGTCAGTATAAATAATAAACTTCATTTGAAATTAATCACTCTTCATCTGAATTGACTTATTTAAGTCAAACACAATGAGGAAGGAAATGGTTGCCATGAATACAACTAAACCTTTATTCCACTACGTAGTTAGGCTGTATAGATCATATCCCGCCAATGTTTTCTACCGAATTTTTTCCTTTGATTTTTTCTTTTTCATTTTGAATTATTGATATAGGTTCCCCAATTACCTTTTAGGTGAACCAAATCTGCAACTAAGCTGCAGGGAAGGCATCTTACCAATACATTATTCTTGTTGTCACATATTTTCAAGTTTAAATACATCAAGTGTTTTCTAATAGTTCTCTCCAAGTCTTTTTTAGTCTTCCAGTTCCCCTTTTAGTTAGATTTACATCATTTAATAATGTTTTATTTTCTACTCCCCACTTTCGTGCATCTTAGTATCTCTTGCATACATGTTGAAGCCAGCTACAAAGTGTTTCTCTTATTTTCTCATCCATGGGGCTAATCCACTTTCTTTGTTTCTAAGCATTCATCTCATACTTTCTCAAATCAAAAGTCTATCGCAGCATCCTCAATTGTCCTAGCATCCTCAATTATCTCTAACTGTCATCTGTCTTGTGGCTGTTCCCTAAATATTTTCATTACAATTTTGGCCATACTTAAAAATCACAAAGTATGGAGTGTGCACTTTTTTATAAGTCCCAAGTTGTCAGAATTATATGCATAACATCTTCAAAACTTCATCAAACAGCAATTTTCTTGTAAGACGGATCTTGAATATGTAAATTCAAACTGAAAACATAACCAGCCCCACAAAATGCTATAAAGGCTTCTGGTGGTGGTTATTATTGGTTGCACTTAAATATTTGAGATACATCTATTTCATGCTTTCAAATTTTCGTTCTACCACACTGCTTCTACTTAGAATGTGGCATTTTGTATATTCAGATTTAATTCTATAAAGATGAGGGGACCAAAAAAACACCTATATTCAAATGCCTTCCTCCAAATTTTTCACTTTGCATCCACTCCCCTCATCTCATTGCTCAAACCCACATTGCATATACTCAACACTTAAGGATTTTAGTGGGCTACTCTATTGTTGTGGCTAAAAGTATGAGCTCAAGGAGAATTCTCAATGTAAACGTTATCATTTAATATCCACCAGCAGCAATGGTTGCCAGGGGAAACTACTAAGAATTACTACTCCCTTATCCCATAATTCAAAATCAGCAGCAACACCTGGGCCTTTACCCCACCAGGTGGAGTCACCGAATACCCAATCCAACCCTCTTTCTTAGTCCAAGTTTGGAACGACATGCTTGCTACCACCCAAAGTCAACAAAATGAATGGTGGAAAGGAAATAAATTTATACATTATAAAGCAAACCAGAAACTAGCTCTTCGGGCATTGATGTTAAGAGAGAAAAATTGCAAGTATGTACCTCAATCCTTCAATTGGCTCCCACGTATCATCGTCTGGAGCATATCCTTTCCACCGAACCTATGAAATCAACCAAAGTTACATGCATGAGTAGAAAAATATTTTTCTCTCGTGAATTGAATTGATAAGCAAGGAAATGAGTGAAACATTGACAAATGAAAGAATTAACAGTTGACGCCCACAGAAAGGCTTGTCCAATAAATCAGAAAAATTTTCTGATATTTTTCAGTTTATGTTAATCATATGCATAATGAAAGTGGCACTTCGAGTGACTAACTTAGAAGAGAATATTACCAAAAGGAAAAAAATTAGAAGAGAATAATGCAAGCATATATTCCACTAGCCCTTCAGAAATGCTAAGAGGAAATAAAGATAAGGGGCTACTGCCGATAGTATGCATTTTGCAATCCGCATAGTACCTTGAAATGAACCCCAGACTTTCCGGTTTCATTTGGATCTCCATAGCATATGTCAATTAAAGAAGAAACTTCATATTCTTCATCAGGATCCTTATGATCCGACTCTGAATTTCTACTGCTTCCGCCTCTTCTTCTGTCATCGGTGCCACCTTCATGGAATTCTTTTAAGTTATTGAAAACATAACATTGACATAACTTCTCCCACGTTTTCAAGAGTTCCAGATACTCCTCAGCAGATGCATTTCTGACCTATAGATGCAAGAAATAAGCAACATTTTCATACAGGATATTTCAGAAATAACCAAGGTTAGACAATTTGAAAGTGCAAAGCGGTTACTTGTGTTTCAGGGTGATTTAACTTGAGACTGTCGCAAGCAGACTTCTCAATATCAACTGCCCATCTCTAATGAAGGGATGAAAACGAAAACTGTTGGATTGTGAAACAAAGTGACTGTCTTCGCTTGAAAGATCTAGCAATTCAAATATCATGGCATGTACCGTCACAAGATTTATATTGGAAAGCCTGGCACCAAGACACAGTCCAGTTGACATTCCACCACAGCCAGCAAAGAGATCCAGCAAGGTCAAGGCTCCCTTGAGAGGACCAGCCCCAGTGAATACCTCCAACGGAGAAGTATTAGGCGTGTGATAAGGAACAGCAGGTTGAAATGGATATGAATCATTGAATGTCAGGGATTTAACTGCAATGTCATAACAATCCCTGTGAACCCTGAATTCATAAGTATGTGGGATACTCCCCTACCATGACAATCATATTTTGCCCATATATTAGAATAATCATTCCAACTATATTGGGGGGTTGGCGCGAATTGAAATTGGAAAACAGACCATAGTATTCATATCCGTAAAGGAATCAGACATTTAAGTGTTCAATAAGTTAAAGTTTCTTCTTTGATTATCAAAAGACTAAATATAATGTCCCACAAAAGTATAAATTATCTGCCTCAACAGCATATTTGCAACAGTATCATATCCAAAGCTAATAACAGGTAACTACCAAGTAAACTATGAGCTTCAAATACTGGCAACAAGTCACATAATATTCCATGTTCTGTATTCTAACTGAGAAATTTCTATTAAGACTGCAAACAAATATCCTCCCAAGAGGACAACTTACAAGATCGCAAGTTGCGGAATGTTGAATATTCAACACAATACTCCATGTCATAGTAAAAATCAGCGGGTGGTACAGTATCTGATTCAAGACCCACCTAAAATACCATGAAATCTAAAAGTTAAAAGCTGGAAAAGTACTAGAGGAATGAAGTGTGAAGCAAAAAATTCAAAAGAGTAGGACATACTGCAGGCGGTACTTCTACAATGCTGAGTTTCGACATAATGCAATCAAGTGGATTGTCGTTCATTAAAGTTGAGTAGAATATCCGCTTCTTATTATGAAAACAAGCTTCCTCTTTCATAACCTGATGCACAAAAAGAAGACAAATATTGAAATGCCTGATCAAACTTGGCAAGACTTAATAGGAGGAAAGATTCTGCTAATTTACTCACTGTATCTTCGGCTCTAAAAAACCACTGGACTCTAAAGTAGTCTTCTCCTTCTTCAGTTTTGAAAAATTCCAGGATCCTGCCAATATGGTGCTTCCTTCCTTCACCCTGAAGGAATTGCTCAATATAAATCTTACGCTGTTTTGAAGATCGCTAGATGACTGATAAAAAGTCATTTTTCTGGCACAAAAAATCTTAGAATAACGCATCAGGTAAGATTTTAGTTTTTTGGTTTACAGTCAGGTAAAATTATGAAAGATCCACAAGCAGAGGTTAATGACTTTGCTATGCCTTTAGAGAACAATAATAGAGGAGTCTACTTCGATATCAATGGATAGGGTGCTTCAGCCAAAAAAATTTCCAAAAAAAGATGTGGACAAAAATAATTTTTTTCTATTTTTGGTGGACAAATCTAGTTGTCTCAGATTTGCCAAATCCAAATCTATCCATTTTGTCAAATTCGAATCTACCCAATAGAATTGATTCATCACATAGTTGTAATACAAGGAGATTCAGATTTGGCAAATCTGAGACAACTAGATTTGTCCACACCACTCGGGGACATATATTCTTGTCCAGGTCCTTCCATTGAAAATTATTTGGGTAAAAAACTCCGATATCAATAACATCAAATGGGCAATTTCTTGCTATAGATTATTTATGAAATACCTAGACATTCTCTACGTTGATATTGGAGAAAAAATGAAACCTTTCTCGCATTACATGAGAGTGGCTATGTTGTGTTTTGTCTATAACAGACGATGTCATTCAAATTCAACATGTCCTTACGCAAGATTCTCTCGTTGTTTTCATTTAGTGCTGCGCTATCCCACTTTCTTTCCAGAGAATTATAAGCAATCCTTTTCTTAATCTATTGTGCCCAGATATCTATCTGACCATCTCAACATTCTCATTTCCTGATCAAACCATTCAAATAATCTGATACTCGACAGTAGAAAAGTCATGAACTGACAACCGTTGTTTCAATCACATAGCAAATTATTAAAGAAAACATTATGCTACCTTTATGTATGCACAATCTCCTATGTTGTAAACACTACCATCAACATTTGCCTGTGCGTAGTGGAACGCCACGTTCAAAATTATTTCATCCTCTTCACCAGGACTGCAATGTGGATACAAAACAATAAACAGCAGAAAATTTGCTTGAATGAACTCATCAAAGAACAGGTTAAAGCTTGTCACCGTGAAGGAGACAAATTGAGGCTTTCCCTTACTTTAATATCCAGCCCTTATTCCTTGGTTGACGTTTCTGCAAGCTCGAATCACAGCATGAAAGGTTTTCAGTTAGATATTTCCATCTTGCCAGTGAATATTTTGACCCCAAAATCATTGATTCCAGAAACACGAAAAAAGGGTCATTACATATGACTGTACAGAAGAAACTTCTATCTCATATTATCTGAAAATGGCATTCCTGGCTAGACCTTTTACCACTCAATGATAGGGCTTATTATACGAGGAAATAATAGCAGATCAAAATTTCTCTAAGTTAGGCTTCGAGTTCAAACTTCATTGCCTATTCATAAAGCCACAATCAACAAACTATAATAGATAGACACAAAGTTTCATGTACCATTCTTCAGTAGTCAAAATAATAGTGTCAACCTGTTCATAACAGCTATAGTACTAGATACCAAAACCATAAGAAACAAAAAAACCATACCTTCAGTTCATAACGCCAAGTCCATCTATCTTGAGCCTCTTCTTCTGGAATTGGTGGACCAATGAAGAAACTAGCAGCCCTTGGCTTACTCTTTCTTTTATTACTCTTTGAATTATTTACAGATTGCCCTTTATTTTCTGTGTTGCCCGCCTTAATCTGACTCAACTTATTTTCAACACTTCCGCTGCCAGTCAAACAATACACAATTTTTCCAGACCTCAAGCACTTCTCACCGGACAATTTTTCTGGAGCAGCGGACTTTCTTTCCTCCGAATGATATCTTTCCAAAGTACCTGGACTTTCAAAGTTAGTCTCTACCTGGGACGAACTGTAATGACTCAAACCTTCATCCGGCGATGGAATTTCAGGTGCTAAGCAGTTATCACTATCTTTGTTATTGCTAAATTCAATCAAATTTAAGTTTTCATTCTCAGTAACCACATGCATTTTCACAGTTCGATTCCTCCGCTTTTTCCCACGCGTGACACCCTTTCCGGAATCATTTCTTCTTCCAGACCCAATCGCTGGTGGTAATGCAAGAAATTCAGAACCCAAATTAGGATTTAATCTTGGCAATTTTCTTGAGCAATTTCCACCGGAGCCACGTTTTCCAGTAGTTGCCGGTAACTCAAGAAATTCAGTAACCAAATTCGGATTCAATCTTGGTGATTTCCGTGAACAATTTCCACCACCGCCGCCGCGTCTTCTACTTTGGGTCTTCTTCTCCGACGAGACCGGCTTTACAGGAGCAAGAATCTTATTCTTGGATTTCCCTGAGTTGCTCCTAGTACTACTACCCAGTTTCGGAGACCTCCGCAAACTCGACCCATTTTCCGATTTATGCAATGTGGCCAAATTTTCCACCTCCAAACGCCGTCGCTTCCGGGATTCAGCCGGAACCCCTTTTCCCAACTCGCTCGAATTCTTCCCATTTTCTCCCATTCTCCCATTTTCCAAAAGCCCATTCACAATAACTCCTTCCTCTTTCCCAGCAAAACCACTACTGTAGATATTATTAGTATTTCTTGACGATCTGCGCAAGTTTGGGTTGCAGATTTTCAATGGGGTGACATCGTCTACTATTACTGGCTTGCAATCAATCACATGCATTGACAGAGCCATTGACTTTTCATCATCAGAGTGACCCAATGACTTTTCATCATCGGATTGATCCAATCCAGCTCTACTTGGTGGTGGTTCTTCTTCTTGAGTTTCCATTCTCGGTGGAGTTAATTTTTGTTTGGTTTCGTGGGGATGGGTATGGCGTTTTTACTCGTTTGGTGGGAGAACAGAGCAGTTTTTTTGTTAGCTTTCGGGGGGCGAGTGTCAAACAGGTAAATTTTTGAATGTTTTAGGGTAATTCTGATCAACGTGTGACTTCAAAAATAACAGTAAATTGGGTTGATAGGTGTGGAAAATTCTTCCTATCAAAAGATAAGTGAAAAAAATACTAATCTCTTTCATAAAAAGAAAAAAAAGAAAAAAACACTAATCATATATATTACTAACTCTCTCTCAATAAAAAAATAACATTTAATTTTGAAATTTGTATTAATTTCACCAAAAAAAATTGTATTATTTTTTAAAAAAATACTAACAATAAGTCTAAATAATAGAAAATTTTCTAATTGAATTTTGAGATTTGTATTATTAAAATCCAACGTGGTTTTTTTTAGAGACAAATAGAGTATATTTTTATAAAAAAAAAATAGAGTAATGATATGTCTGATGAAAAATGTTTTGAAGAATAATTATGAGTAATCGGGATGACAGAATCACAAAATATAAATTATATGCATAACTTTATATGAGAAATTTTAAGGCTAAAATTAAGAGATTATCGAAAGACTACAATGATTTAATCAATTTAAGTAATAAGTATTTTCTTAAACATAATATATAATTGATGAGTTGTGATAGACATTTAGTAAAACAAGTTAGGGATTCATGAAAAGACAAAAGCACTGTCACTGTGATAAGGGGTAGTTAAGTAAATTCATATGTGCCCTTATCAGTCAACATCTCATTTCACTACTACTCCCTCCATTTCAAACTGTGAGTCTTTTTAGACTCTGCATGCAAATTAAGGAGATAATCATCCAACAATTAATTTATGTGTTAAATATCTGTTTTATTCCTTATTTTTACATTGAAACTATAAACAAGACTAAATAAAAATAATTTGGCATTTAGTTGGAAAATTGTCATTAATTTGCCTAGAATTTGTAAAACGACTTATATTTTGAAAAATCTCTCCAAACTTAAAACGACCTGCAATTTAAAATAGAGGGAGCAATATGTATCATTTTCCATAATTGATTTACTCATATAATTTGTTGAAAGAAAGAATGGATTAGTATTAAATGTTCTTATCTTCAGATGTTACCCCACTTCCTAAATTGGAGGGAAAACAAAAATCTTTTGAAATCCAAACATATATTTCTTCTTCTCTTTATTTTTATTTATTTTTTAATGTAAACATTTGTTGTTGTGATTATTGATCACCAATTACTGTTATAGATAAGAAAACAACAAATTTAAGAATCGAATAGCTTCTTTTCTTTTTTTGGATCAATATTCAAAAATATGGAAAGAAAAAAAATGAGATTATAATTTTATTCTGATAATTTGTATTTTCTTTTTTTTATACAAATAATTTGTATTTTCAGTAGCACCATTCAAATCTTCCCTTGTTTCCTTATCACCCAACAAAAATACTTTATCACATCGCATGAAACTATTCGTCTTTCCATTAAAACATATCATTTACTAATAATAGATAATTTACATATTTTAATTCGTTTTACATCTTAACTACCTTATTTATATTCATTGAAAAGAAAGGGCTAATGAAATATTAGTCTAAAAGATTATTAGATGATCAACATTGATTTATGAAATATTTCTTTTTAAATTTGTTTGCCAGATGAATGTCTATTATTGTTTTTATTTTATTTTTTGAAAAAAAATCCATCCTAGTAGACCTCACTTAAATGCGGGTGAAACTACTCTTACACACTCTTGGTGAAAATTGAACTCCAGCCATATATAATTACACTGGGGGCCATATATAATTCAAAATTTTCAATGTAAAGAAAAGATTCTCTCCATATTGTGATGATTGTCACATATAATGATTATCTTGGGATCGGGGGAATACTATTTATGACAACATTTAAACTCAATATTATTTCAAACAAAAAAAAACAAAATACCAAAAATAAATTTACATTTATAATAGTCAAAACCTTAAAAATTGTAGAAATATTGCATAGAATAATAATGTTGAATCAGGGAGTCAAATAAAAATTTCTCAAACAACATGATAAATACAATTATACAAATTTTTTAATTATCAAAATGAGAAAGATTACACCTAGCTCAATATTGAAAATTAAAAAATAAACAAAATAAAGTATGTAGAAAAGGCTAGCTTGGTTGTCTTAGCATTTTTGGAGGTGGTTGATTTTAGAAAAAATGGGGGAGAGGGGGAATGTATAACGGCCACTAGTTCGTTAGTGATGAAAAAATATATATTTAATTATTTAAAACAAATTTCACTTAAATTAGGAGAATTTTATGGGTTGGGGAAACCTAATTAATAGCAAAAGCAAAATTGCAAAAATAATTAAACTCTACCACAAGAAAAAAAAATAGAAAAGATAAAATAAAAATAAAAATAATATACATATATAAGGTCCAAGGCGAGCCCAGCGAAGGCCATGGCCCCCAAAGGCCCCCACCCTGGATTCGCTGACCATGAAGCATAACATCTTAACCATTATGTTATTATTCAATTCTATTAAATTGGGGTAGAAATAAGAGAAATTCTATTAACATGGACTAAATTTATTGACGCTGAGTGTAAAAAATATTGTGAATCGCAATTGTCATATTGACAACTTACGTACACTTATTCTGGTCCTTATTATAAGACATTTTGATTTGTTCTAATTTTATTTAGTATGTTTTTTAAGTTAAAAATAAAATCTTGAAAATATATTTTTTATATTTTGTGTTCTCTCAATTATTATAAAATATTTTTAAAGATCTATTTTCAAGTGTAAGAACATACTAAATGAAATTTAGAACAAATCAAAATATGTTATAATAAGACATGAGCGAGTATTCACTTCTCTTGTTTTGTTTTTTTAGATAGCACTTCTCGTGTTCATAAATAATCATGGGAATTTGCCATTCTCAATCAGAAGATTAAAATGATATGAGAATTGTGGTGAAAGTTGAAACTGAAGATGACCGTTTTATTCAGAGCCGTTATGGAACAAGGAGAAACAACTTTTTGGGAAATAACCAATCCTTCGCTTTGGGATTTGGCTATTTGGTGGTGGGTAGCCCATATGGTCCCCAAAAACCTGATGAAGAAAAGGTACCAAAATTTCCAAATCATTCCACATGGCCATATGTTTAGACTTTAGACTTTAGATGGCTTTATTTGGTTTATTTTTCTCGTGATTTTTTCAGATCATTTTATTAATAAATATCTTATTTAACCTATAATTTTTTTCTTTTTTACATTTTTAATATATTTTGTTTTTACATTCTCAATAGAAAAAATAAAATACACAAATTGAAAAAACGTTCCAACCATGCCAACTATGATTGAATAGTCGGGAGAATTTTGATTGAAAGTTGTATGTTAGGATGAAAGGTGAGGGGCAAAATGATCATTTGGTGCGGGTTGGGTGAAAAAAAAATCTAGATAATTTAGATGTCTTTCCTATGTATGTATATATTTCCTCTATAAAAAATAATTGGGAACATTATCGTTAAGGGTATAAGAAAGATTAAAATTATTAATGAGGGCATGCCTTTTACTCCCTGTATGAAAAATAATTTTAAGGCTACTTTAATTGCTAAAAAGACTTCAATATCCTTCTTATACCGAATAATTCCGTATGATCAAAGTTCTCAAGCCGTTACTGACTCCTCATCACCGTTGCGGCGCTGCCTACCACTGCTTGTTGCCATGACCTAGTAAACCCACTCGGAATTTTTTTGTTTGATTAATATTAGTTCAGCTGGAAATATTGGTTAATTTTTTTTTGAGTTTTTTTTTTTTAAAATTCTGTTTTTTTTTTTTTGGCGAGTTAGACCGTAAACAAAAATGGGTTTATCTTCTTTCTTCTTCTTTTTTCCTTTTTTCGTTTCTTGGTGACATTGGATTAAATTGGTGTTAGTGATGACTAGATGGAGCCATGGAGGGTGCTGAAGAAGAGAGTTTCGATGACTATGGGAATACTATTGTTTATAGACTGTAGTGAAAACAAAAGTCATGATTAATTGTTCAAGATTACTGTAATATGTGCAGTGATATACTGATATGTAGATAGGGCTAGACATTTTGAACCGCAGTTCGGGTCAACCCAATGATCCGAACCGATCTGAACCGAAACGGAACTGAAATTCTAATTTCGGTTCGGATCGGTTCGGATCGAAGATTTTAAAAATTGGAACGGTTCGGATCAGTTCGGGTCAAAAGAATATCCAAATTGAACCGAAAAAATCCAAAAACAAAAAGTAACTAATTATATTTTAATAATGAAGTCGTTGACCGCTGCTACCACCTTTGACCACCGTCGCCAGTCGCCGTCGGCGACAACTTTCGGCCAAAATTCAGGCGACTTTGTCAGAAATTTATTTTTTCCTGCGGTCGGTGACCGTCTCCGGCGTGATGACGTCATCGTCACTTTTGATGATGTCATCACTAGCAATATAGTTCATTTCGGATCAATTCGGTTTAAACCCGTAACCCGAACCGAACCGAAGCCATTTGTGATTCAAAAAAAATTGACCCGTTGCCGAACCGAACTAAAATAACGGTTCGATTCGGATCGGTTCAATTCGGGTCGGTTTTCTCCAAAAGAACAGCCCTATATGTAGAGATGGCCAATTTGTGATAGAAAAGTTGAGAATTGGGCAAAAAACCGTCCGACTGTCTGAGAAGGCACAAGGGGGAAAAAGATAGAATTAAATTAAAAGTATAAAGTAGTCTTTTTACATTTAAAGAAACATTAGAAGTGATTTTAATGCTAACTCAAAAATCTATACCCTTAATAGTAATTTTTGTTTTTTCAACGCTCTGAATGAAAAAAAATTATATTAAGTTTTCATATTTATACTAAATTTAGTACAAATCTGAAAACTCAAAGTGGACTACTTTCTAGGGAAAGAGAGAATTTTTTTGTTAAGAATGTATA